AAGCTGTCAAAAAAGGGGGAAAAAAACAACTGCTTTATTTTGTGCAGTGCAGTTTATACAAACAGGTGCTATCACTGGTAGCCTTCACTAATGCTTCTTTGATTATGACTTTATAGAATAATGCAACCTTAAAGGATGTTTTGACAATGATGGGAATATGTGTTTTTGCTCTCTACCTTTGTGGTTAATTTACCTTCTAATATAAATTAGCCCCTCAAAAACTATAGTAAATGAACTTTGGCCTCACTGTTAAAACCTTATCCTAGTCAACTAAGTTCCAGATTTGTGTTAATTTTTCAGACTTCTCTTTAACCTAATATTGGGATCAAATACATAATCTAATAACCACTTCTTTCCAAACAGAGAGACCGGTTTGCACACCTAACTTCTACAGGATAGTAAAACTGATCTTGTGACTTGGCTGTGGCATTTTGCACTCATAGCTGGCATACCTGATTTCAGCGATAAGGTTCAAACCCAAGCTTATTCATTCTCTAGACTGGAAGGACCATCAATGACCCTCATGCTCCATGCGTCACCAGTATCTAGAGCATTACTAGTATTATCCACCTTAACCTTTCAGAAGATAGCCAATTTCTAGGTGGATGTGTCACCTACAAGTTGACCTATCTCTAAGGATTTATATAGAGCAGTTGTGAAGGAAAAGAAAGATGAAGAAAGATTTCTTGCTACTGGGAATTTGGGATTTTAAGGTAAATTTCAACAATCAATCTCCTCACTTAGCCAGCCCTCTGACTTTGACCTCTTTTCCTGGCCCCAACCTGGGGAAGTAAAGCACATTGGACGATCAGTTGAGGTGGAAACAAACCTGCAGGGAGCTGCTCACACTGAGAAGCAACTATAATATGAGGTTTGAAATATGAGCCACTCACTATACTGGTTGAGGAAATTGTTCAAGCACTTCATGGGATGGCTAGAAAGGTGCAAATAATTTTGTTCATTTCTAAGGAGGGGAAAAAAAGGAAAACATTTTTAAGAAGCTTAGTGTTCTAATATATAAACAAGAATATGCCCCAGTGTTGATCTCTCTCTGAAAGAATATATTGTCTTTCAGTAAAAATCCCATGCAATATTTAATATTTTTATCAGGAATGTTTTTTATTATTTCATAATTTTTATATTTCTCTTCTTACTGTGGTTCTTTTTTTTTAGAGTTAATGATTTTAGAGGAAAATAATATTTGCAACCCTTATTATCAAGATTTCTTCCATATCACACCAGGAAGGTAAGCCAGGTAGAAGAAACCATCAAGGTAAGAAGACAGAAAGATATAGAAAGAAATAAGCTTTTACTTCCCAAATTCTGGAGTTTCCTTGAATGTTTTTGTAAGATTTAATTATATGCCTGCCTGTTGCTAGTAAGCTTTATAAATTGGTTAGATTATTATTTTATTTGAAATAGTAATAATCTGAAAATGTGATGTTCAGGCCCAAACAACAGTTAAGTGAGTGTTCAACTTCAAGGCTGATTGACAGCTAAAACTCATGTTCTTATCTGATAGCTCCAAAACCTCCCAAGCTCACAGTGATCCAAAATTTTGCAAATGTGACACTTCAGGCATTAACCAATTAACATACAATTTTGCCATTAACTTTAATATAGGCAAAAGTAGGCTTTAAAAGGACATGATAAAGCATCTCTTGTATCTCCCTAATTCTATTAAAGAGAGCAGCCTGCATGTAATGGCATGCCTTTGGAAAAGCTGGGGAATAAAGTTTCAAAATTTTCTTCTAAATACACATCAATGGCAACTTTTAATGAAAAACGCACACAACAGTATCAGGACAACTCCAGGTTGAAAGAAGGCAGAATTCCTAAGCATCTTCTCAGAAAAGTTAAACCACAAAGAGCAGATGGGTAAGTATCATGAGTGAAAAAATAACTGGTGTTTCATTGTAGATTTTCCAGGGGAAGTCACTAGGTAGTATTGCAGTAAAAAACAAAACAAAACAAAACAAAACAAAAAACCAAAACACAACCTATATATTTTTTTTCAAATAAACGTGCAACCCTGAATTTCTTTGTTACAGTTAAAAAAAAAAAAAAAAAATCAAAGCTTAGAAAAAACACAAAGGAAACAAAACCCCTCTGCCGCTGTATAACTATATTTCTAATTTGACAGCTACAATTATAATCATTCAGGCATCTATTTCCCACAAACTCTCCACAGCCATAACCTTTAGTGATTAATTATAAAGTTCCAGGAGCAATAGTACACAGACTAATTTCCTAAAACAATAAAAGACAGAATTTCTCATTTGGAGCTAAATGAAACACGAACAGGTTGTTATTCATGCTGAAATCTAAATGCAGAGTCATGTTGCAGCCATTACAGAAGCTATTAAACACAACCTCGAATCAAAGAAACTGTAGGTCTGCCTCCTAAAATAAAATGTTTTTTTCACTTAAGTAGCTTTTGACTTCTTTGTTTTGTTCCTTTTTACCCTTTGTTAGTAAAAATCTTTCAGAATTCAATTTTATTTCTCATTTTGCATTACCATTTTGTTTTTTGTAGTAATTTAAACTGTAGCAGTCTAGTTCAAAACAAACATTTGGTGAAGCTTTCATGCACAGATAATTATTATGGGGTGGTTTCATAGTTTCACAGCACCCATGAGTGAATCAATGTTGTAAAGTGTATGCTAACTCTTCAACTAAATGACAGCTCTCTTTCAACTCTTTGGCCCTTATTCCAATCATCTAAGGAAGTTTAGGAGCTTATTATAGTGAGGGTGTGACAGATAGTCTGTTGCCTTGCGTAGTAAAATGAGCAGTTGCTGATTTGGTACCCTCTAGAAGGTATTATATTCCTACAGTAATCCTACAAATTTTACTTCTGACTTGATGTATGCCCATTTGTTTTGTTTGACATAGGCCTATTAACAATAATCTTTTAGTGAGAGAGACAAGCCATGTGTTACACAAATTGTCTTTTATAGAAATCAGGAAAAATAAAACTTAGAGCATCTTTATCTCATCTTTCTCTTTCTCCTTCTTCCCCTATCCATTCTGAAGCCTGAAAGCAAATTCAGGAGTCCCGAAGTATACACCGAATAACTTTACCCAATGAGGTAACAGACATAAGTAAGTTTTTTGCTTTCTTTGTTTCTTGTCTTGTCATTTAATGGGACTTTATGGAACTACCCCGATATTGTGAATATCCCATGAATTCCAAAAAAAGAAAAAATATAGGCAAAAAGTAACAGCCTTGTATTATCTGCACCTAGGTCCCAATCTAAGTCCAGCAAAAAAAACCAAACAGTGGTAATCCTTTGTTGAAAAAATAAGTATTGAATCAGTTGCAAAGAATGTCACTTCCCCACAAATAAACTATTTTGAAAATATTTTGGTTAATGTTTGCATGGTCATTTCCTATAAAACTTGAAATTATATAACCAGAATAATATTACCTGTATTTGAAATAATCCCTATCATAAGCATATGAAATATTGCAAATACCAAATTATATAATGTATTTATCTATAATGCATTTTAAGGTGTGTAATATATAGGTGTATTATCTATAACAATAAGGTGTATTATCTATAATACATTTTAAGGTAAAAATGTTTTAAAGGTGACTCCTAACAGTTTAAAAAATCTCCAAAACTAAGCATACACTTATTTTCTTTTGGGAGACTTCAACTGGGGTGAGATTAAATATCTTTTTCTTCCCAATTGAGTTCTCAATGCTCTCTCTTAGCAGAGTATGTTTATGACATCTCAGATATGCAATCAGATGTTAAATTTCTGGAAACTCTACAGGAGTTACATGAATTTAAAAATATATTATTTTTAAATACATTTTAAAATAATTTTAAAATATTAAGACTGTTATAGTTCAGTACACACTAATTAATTTTGTTTTGAAAAAAGGTGAATAAGAAGTACTTGTTCTATATAAGTGCACAGAAGTTTTAGGAAAGTGTTTATTGCATGTGTTGCCAGTTCAATTTCTTCAGTATAGACGAGCCTGCAGTTAGCTGTTATCTAGCTGCCAAAAGGCAATACCACTTTACAGAAGACACTGCTTCATGAATAATTTTTCATGAATTCAAAGTTATTTATTTAGAAAATGAGTCTTAGACTTCCCAGTTTTTGCCTTATTTGCCTAATAAACTACCACTGTGCTGGTATAATAATTCATATATACCACATACCATCTACAAGCAACAGACATTGTATTCTTATTCTGAAACAGAAGTGTTGTTCCAGTAGCTCCCCATGTCTGAAATAGATCCATCCTAGTCTCTGTTCCTTCTGATATTTCCACTCCCAAGACCGTTGCAATTACCAAAAAGCCTTTCTTCAAAGCATCCATCTCAAATGTCATCTTGAAGCCAAAGCTTGTTAAGTTGTGGCAATTATGTTCAACAATATATATTAGGAAATATGTTTGGATCATAGGGTTGGAAGGGTCCTTATAAAAGTTTCCATATAATTTTAAGGATAGTTCTAGTTATTTAGGCTATAGCTTACACCTACTTTGCCCCTGTTTCATAGCTCTGGGTTATAAATAGCTCTTCTAGGAAAGAGTAATATGGTATAAAGCTAAATAACTGGCAATTTGCCATTTCTTTCTTTCTGTCTATGCAATGACCTGTGCCTCATACCAACTTAGAAAACCTATATATTTTTGAGACTTGCCACAATTTACAGGAAAATATTATACTCAATGTTTGGACGTGAGAGAAGGTTTTTGTCACTATAAGCATTCAGAGAAGAGTTTAGAGAGTCTATTTTTTCAGGTAAGGTAAGTAATCTTTAAACATCAGGCAACTTTTCAGAAAAAAATTGTGAGAACTGTTGTTAGGAGTAAGACTGGGGAAATGCGTACTTGATTCTTAACTGATTTTGGGAACGCACAACTAGCTACAATTGGAATGGCATGACAATACCAGAGATCCTCTCATTTTTACTTTCACTGCACACACAGGACAACACAGAGCCATTCTGGGTTAGCAAAGGATGCTATTTACCTGCATTAGAATTGAGTTCTTCATTCTCTGATTCCGTTCCATTTTGACTTCCACTTCCGTGGAGACTGTTCATTGCCATAAGTTTCATCTTCTGTAACTTCATGGCCTCTGCCATGGCAGCTGCTGTTAGACCTAGAAATAAAAAAACAAAATTCAGATACAGCAAACATAAATGGACAACTTATTTCAACAAGTATAACAATATAAAAATAATTCTGCCCTGATGGAAGATATGTAGGAGAGACCAGACAACAACTGCGCACCAGAATGAATGCACACCGGAAATCCATCAAAGACAGAAACACTCAATTACCGGTGGGGGCACATTTCTCACAGGAGGGCCACTCTCTCTCCAATCTCTCAGTCCTGATCCTCAAGGGAAACTTACACAACACTTCCCAGAGACGAGCCTATGAGCTCCATTTCATCAACCTGCTGGATACTAGAGATCATGGACTAAACATAGACACTGGACTTTGGATACACTATAATCTGCCTGGCAACTGACTCCCCAGCCAGGCCCAGCCCCTGGCTTGTTTACTTTTCATTCCATCCAGGAAGAGCACACACCAACTGCTGCAGCTTCCTTAGCCTGACGAAGGGTTTTTGAACCCGAAAGCTTGCTTAATAACTATTCTCCAACCATTTGGGTTGGTCTAATAAAAGATATCAAATTCACCCAAGGAACCTTGTCTGCCTATGTCCTTAGACCAACACGGCTACAACCTAAACCCTTATTCTACCATATCATTCTTTTTTAAGTGCATACTGTAAAGTAGAACTCACAAATAAGTTCTGGTATTACTTTAACATATTATTTAATGTTGCTTAGATCATATTCTGCTTCCCTTGTGACACTGCTAATAGTATTTCAAGAAATTCCAGAATACTGGTCCTTAAATTCAAAGGCTGGAGGCCAATCAAAACCATTGGCAAAAGGCATAAAGAATACACTTTCAGCATTCTTCCAGAGTCAGCACTGATCTAAATCAGAACTGCTGCTGCCCCTCTGGAAATTGTCTAATGTAATTTTGAAAAATTCAGGTAACTACGAATTTGACCTCCAGGCCACTCAGGAAAGCTATTACAACTCTTCCAAGCTAATTAGACCCTTAAAAATGTATGGCATAAAACAAATAGGGGTGCAACACTTTCAAGTGGTTCAATAGTTACTTCCTCTGCAAAATAACCTGAAGGGAAGAGAGGTAAAGGAGCTGAGGTAAAGTGGGAGTAGGTTTTGGTTTGAGCTTAATTATATTATTTTTCTTTGTAAACATCCCTTATATGTTGTGTTCAGAAAGAGTAAACTTCAAACATTTTTTCATTTGGCTTGACTTAGCACCTGGAGGATCAGATGCTTTTCTAGACCATTTTCAAATGGTTCTTAAAAAGTGCATATTTTGGGCAGAAATAGTTCATTTGAAAGTTTGACTAATAAGCAGGAAAATATAAAAATAGAAAACTCAAATATCCAAGAGAACTCTTAAACTATTATTTACAATTCCTGCTATTTATTTTTGTAGGATTCTAGGCTGGATGGGCTTTTCTGGCTCCCTCTCAATAGAAGATTGTGTAACTCGTCCTGTGCCATTTGTTGAGACAGTGGGCTGGAATGCTTCATATCAGACATAATTTGCAAGTTATTACAGTTGTTCCACCAAATCAATGAATTACTTTACCACAAAAAGAAAATATATATATATCCGTGTGCTGCAGTCCTTTTTAAAATCCGGAACTTCTGGAATGGATTTTGTTTTCATAAAGCTATAAAGATGTCACAAGCTGTAAAACTGCGCGTTCAAAAAACAACAAAATACCCTTGTTTGCCTCTGAAAAAACGCACTCACTGAGAGATGAAGCACTGAGTTTAGTGCCTTAATAACTACTGCAGTCTTTACTGTCATACATCAATAAACCAAAAGACTTTATTTTAAAAGTTGCAATGAATTTGTTGCATCTGTAAGTATAGATCTTACAAACTTCACAAGAGTTCTCACTACTGTAGTTTGGGTGAAGTAAGAAACTGGCCTCCATGCTCTTTGGGCACAATTCTTCTTTTTTTCCCCCATTTTTTTTCATACACTTTACACTGGTATAATTCTCAGTTTCTATGAAGCTACTCATTGATGTAAATCATAAGTATGATATCAGAGTTAGGCCAGTTATCAAAACAAACTTACAAAACGCAGCCTTCCTCCTTTCTTTCAAATATCTTTCCTAAGACCCTACTAGTATTCCTAAGTAGGAATTGCATTTATTCATCCAGTTTTTCATTAGCACTACTCAGAAGACCTACTGAACACCAGTTGTCCTGTCTTTTATCCATGAAATGACTAATGGTGATCTTGACAATATAATGTAGAAATTATGTTCTAAATCATATTATGTAGAAAATAAGAATATATAACATTTATTTCAGAAAATATCTTCAACCACCTTGTATTTTAATAAGGTCACCAACTCAGTAAACAATGGACTACTACTCTAGCAATAGCAACCAGAACTCAGTTTAAAAATAAATCAATTATCCATATTTTCTATGGTTTCATAGTTAGTAGGGTCGGAAGGGACCTGAGCAGATCATCAAGTCCGACCCCCTGCCATGGACAAGAAAGGATGCTGGGATCAGACGACCCCAGCAAGGTGTCTATCTAGCTTCCTCTTAAAGACCCCCAGGGTAGGAGCAAGGACCACTTCCCTTGGAAGCTGGTTCCAGATCCTAGCCACCCTGTGAAGTAGTGCCTCCTGATATCCAGCCTGAATCTGCTCTCTGTCAGCTTGTGGCCGGTGTTCCTTGTTACTTCCAGTAGTGCTTGGGGGAACAGGGACTCTCCCATTGCCTGCTGGTCTCCCTTGGCCAGTTTATAGACGGCCACCAGATCCCCTCTCAGCCTCCTCTTGTGGAGGCCGAACAGGTTCAGATCCTGTAGCCTATCCTCATGGTTCTTTTACACATTCTGCAAATTTTGAGTTAATCAGGCAAATATGAATGAGAGGCTTAACATACTACTGCTTCTGGGTCTCCCAATACATTGACCAGGTCCACTAAAATAGACTCCACTAGAAAATACCTCTTACAGGACAAATATTTTCTAAAATTTGAACCTGACCTATAAGAAAATCATGAATTATTTTGTAAACTGCACGCCACCACCACCACTACTACTTCCATCTGCACAAACCTCTGCACATCTTAGCACCAACCAGAAAAGAAATTGCCAGTAAATATAATTCTTAATACTACTAATTTCCATTTTAGAAATAAAGCAAGCACCCAGCCAACAAACAAGCAACCTAGCAGCACCAAGAGTTGTTTGTTTGTTTGTGTGTTTGTTTTAAAAGGAGGTTTCCAGCCACAGTTTGCAGACCCAAGGATTTACACACAAGTACTTCTAAATGTTTGGGTGCTTATCCCCACCAACTTAAAGTTCTCCGACTCACTCTTTGCTTAAAAAAAATCAGCGATTAAAAAAAAATTAGATACAGAAATTTTCCCACCAAGAGCATGTTCTCCCTCTATCTTTCCCCCTTGAAACCAACTTCAAGAAATACTCATATTTTTAAGAAATCACAAGAAATAAAGAACCTGGAAATGTTGAAGATGGAGTTATTGATCATGACCACATTTACATCCATATATGTAATAGGAAACAATGCTGTACTGATGAATGGATCTTTAAATTGTTAATTTATGATTTTTTTTTTTTTACAAATTTAACTCCAAAAATTCTAGGGAAAGGGAAGTAGATATAGGTTTATCTAGTAGAATGGAAAAAATAAAACAAAAAAATACTCAATGCCCTATTTAAAAACAAAATTCCTTCTTAATAATCAAGGGTAGACAGACTAGGAAGATAAAAAGTATATTAAGGAACAACAGGAATAGAGCCAGCACAAAGCCTCTACAACCCAAGCTGGAGAAATTTAAGTCAATTATTTTCAGGAATATGTCGAGCTTACTACCCAGGCACTGTGTACCAGAACCTGAAATCTATGCTTGTGTCAGTTCAGTATTAAAAGGTGAAAAATAGCTGTAGTGCAAAAAGAAACAAACAACACCCCCCCCAAAAAAAAAACAAAACAACCCCAAACAAACAAACAGAAAGAACAAAAACCCAGCAACTTTAGGAACCCGAGTGGTTAGGCAAGGAGTTGCAGTCAGTCTGCCAGTACTTTTTCTAACTTTACTGAAGCGCATGTGCTTTCATCCTGGTCTTTGCCTACACTATTATTATATATTTACACTTAAATAGTGCCAGTCATGGATCACGATGCCATTGTGCCAGGCACTATATAGACATTTGCTCTCAGTTCTGGAGCATTCCTGAGAAAGAAAAAGTTGGGTAAAAGTTGGGTAAAAGCTGGACAGCAGCACCCGAGCCCCAGTTACTGTATGCAGGTGATGGCTACTACAGCTGGAGCGGAGAGCAGAGCCCAGCCTACCTCCCCTCCCAGCGGGTGGGACCCAGCACAGGAGGGAGGAGCTGGGCAGAAAGGCTCAGTACTGCTGCCACCAGGACTCCTGCACCAGATGTGCTGCTAAAGTGAGGTGCCCTCTGCCCACCTAGAACCAGTGGGGGGCAGGAGTGCAGAGTTGTGCCCCCTGCTGCTATTGGGCAGGCAGAGTGCATCTCACATTGGCAGCATGGGTAGTGTGGGGATCCTGGCAACAGTTGTAGCACTGAGCCTCCCTGCCTTGCTCTGCCCTCTCATGTCAGATTCCACCCACTAGACCAGAGAGGATCCTGGGGGATGGCAGCAGGGCAGGAAGCCCCAAGCCCTGCAGCAGGCAGCTTGCATCCTCCCCTGCCCATGCACAAGGCCGGGGGGCGGGGGGGGTATGCCCCGCCATGTCCCTCTGACATGTTGACTCTGGCACCTGAGCCCTCCCCAGGAGTGCACACTGTATCAGAGAGCTAGCCCTCCCCCTTCCCGCCCAGACAAACTGCCCTTGGCTCCATCCTGCTCCCCTAGCCAGGCCCTGTGGCCGCATATTCCTGCCCCTGCTGGGCAGTGCCACTATCCCCAGCCCTAGCCACCAACTGTGCCATACTTCCTCCCTCATTGTGGCCTCCTCAATATGCCCCTTCAATAGACCTACCTGCAGGCAGCTGTGGGAGCTGCTCTCCACT